GAGGAGGAGAGAGGTGAATCCTGTCTTTATAAATAATCCACTTCTGTGATAACTGGATTAATCCATCCTGGGAGGCAGAACCCCATGGCCTCATGGCCTCTCAGCAGGCTCCACCTCCCAACAGTATTGCATTAGGGATTAGGTTTTCAACATAGGCTTTTGGGGGATATATTTAAGCTGCTGCAGGACCCCTTTGGGTTCTAGAAGCAGGTACTCAGGACTTGGGAAGACTGTTCTAAGCCATTTATCGAGTGACACAGAGCCTGCTCTCTGTGCAAGAAGGAGCCCAGCAGCAGGCCCAGGTTGATATGCAAAGGGTCCTGCTGTGTGGGCACATGTCCAGGAAGACTCCATGGGATTGTAGATGTCTATGGTAGGAAAAGAGACGATGTGGCATTTGCAGCAAGCTCTAAAAGAAAATCACTGCGTAGAGCTAGAGTTCCAGAACAAACCACACCATTTGCAGCAGATATTTACACACTATTAAAACATAGCTCTTAGTATGGTCCTGGACCCCGAGGAGGCAGAGCCATTGACTGCAAGACATCAAGTGACCGTGACACTCAAACTGTCCAGCATGAGCTGGATTCATACAGAACCACCAAGTCGTAAGATGGGGGGTGATCCCAGGAGTAACTCAGAAGAAGTACGCTTGAAATCAGCCATCACCTGAGCAGATGGCAATAGGAAGATATCTAAGAAGGAGGCCTGAAGCCCCTGTCATCTGCCACAGTGTCCCAACCCCCATCTTTGCCTCTACGGGTGGAGTCCCTTAAGATTAGCCGACAGAGTAGTGAAAAGCCATGCTCTGGTCATGAGTATGTTCACCTGGTTCTAGGGATGAGTTGGAAATGAGCTTCAGCTATACACAGCCCCCTTCAGGAGTGGCCCTGACACCAGCAGAGGAGGGACACACCCCAGTGCATGGCAGGCAGTACACCTGGTCATCAGTTATGTGGACAAGGAGAGAGTCCACACGTGGGCCCAACAGCATGGGTCCCCTACTCATCAAAGTTAACCCAGCTACAGCCATTGCTGAATGCCACCCTGCCCACAAGAGATTAATGCTGAGACACCAATATTACCATCCTTCAAGGACACCTGATGACCACTTGGTGGCAATTGGTGACATTGAACTCCCTTCTCTCTGAAAGGGGAATTAATTAATTTTGATTGTAATGGCCACAGATTCTAGGTATGGTTTACCTCTCCTGCCTGCTGGGCCGAAACCTGCGCTGCTGTCGGATGACAGTGGAGTACTTGATACAGCCATCCTGGATCCAGAGGACGCTGTGTCAGACCAAGGGAGACATTTCACAGCACAGGAGGCAGGGCAGTGGGCGTCAGATCTTAGGATTCTGTGCCACCAGACACTGCCGACCCGAGAGTGACCACACTGTGTCCAGGGCCACGCCTCCTCTCTGGGAGCAGCCTGAGAGCAGGAGACATCGTTGAGCAGGATGTAGCCTGTGCCTGGAATCAATGACCATAATATGGTGCCAGGTCCCCAGTAGGTAGAATGCATGATCCTGGGGAACGTGGGGTACAAGCAGAAGTACAGGAATGCCCTGAGCAGCATGGCTCCCAGGAACCCACTTTGGGACTCGGTGTTTCCTGTCTCCCCAACACCAGCTGTGTGGCGTTGAGGTCCTGTGTTCTGGGTGGGTGTGGGCTTCCACCAGGAGACACAGGGTCTGTCCCATTAAACTCTAGGCTGTGGTATCCCTTTATCTCTGTAGGCTGCTTGTGTTGAGAGGTCGGTAAGCAAGGGATCCAGGTGACTACCCTGGCCGTGTTAAGGGGCCTTGGTTGTCAGGAGAAAGTAGGGTGGTTGCTACAAAGAAAAGAGCAGGGAGGCGGGGTATGTTTGGCACAAAGATCATACCCTGGAAAGACTCTTTTGTTTGTTTGTTTATTTCTTTGGTGCTGGGGATTGAACCCAGGGCCTTGTGCACACACAGGAGGCAAGTGCTCTACCCACTGAGCTCTGTCCCAGCCCCCTTTTGTTTCTATTTTGATGATAATTTGAGCAGCACAGACACCTTCGAAGTAAAGCACTGGGACCTAGAGAAGCTTAAGGAGGAGATAACAGCAGGGATTCAGAGCCACCTGGGCTGAGGGTCTGCTCCTGATGGTAGATGAGCCTGGACATCAGCCTGCACTCAGTGCCACTGAAGAGGTCGAGAACAGGTAGCAGAGAAGAGAGAGGAGTGTCACCTGCAGCAGGGGTGGCTGTAGTTTGTCCTAACATTCCTCTTTTCCCCAGGGAAGGAGATGATCAGGATCCTGAAGACAGAATAAGCTGCTCCCAGAGCCGACTTAGAACAAGAGCCTGTGACCGTGGGCGGCATGGACGGTGGTAGATGCTGAGAGGCACTGTCCTGATCCTCCCTCAGGACTGAACACTCCTCCCTGCAAGGTGAGTCCCTCCCCAAGGAACTGTACTTGGCTGAAGGAGCTGCCTAGTCCAAGGCCACTCCTCCTCTCTGGGAGCAGTGGCTGGGTGACGCGAGGCCCAGAGGTCCGTCCCTCTCACCTGGAACAACTCGGAGGGGCCAGGCCAGCTTCAGACCTCCCTGTGAGTGGGGTGAGGCCTTTGGGGCAGCTGCAGCAGAGTCTTCTTGTGCCCCTACCTGCTTCCTTCACTGCTCCCCCCCCCCCAGGCCACTCCTGAGAGCGCCCCCTAATGACCTCCCAGAGCAGAACTCGCCCCCTCACAGTCTGTTTCCTGGGGAGCCACCCTACAACCCACAGTTCCGAGGTCCCTGGCACCTTTTTCCTGCTACTATTTCGTCGAGTAGGATTTCTGTACCCCTCCCTCTTTCTTCTCCTCAGGTATTCCCCAACTTTCAGTATTTATGTATTTAACGGTGTCCCAAAGTTCTCAGAGACTGTCTTCATTCAATTCGTCCACCCCCCACCCCTGGATTTGACTGGGGTATTTCAAAGGACCCGTCTTCCAGTTCGGACATGTTTTCTTCTGCTTGATGTAGCTGTCTTTTTGGTTCCACTTTTGAGCTCTTCCTTTCCGAGACTCCCATGGGGTTCCTTTTCAAGATGGCTGCCTCCTTGCTGACTCTCTCATTCTGGTTATCCATCGTTTTCCTAATTTCATTCAGCGGCCTGTCGGTTCCTCCTGAATCACACGGAGGTTCCTTGTAATCATTCCTTGAAATTCTGTATCAGGCCTTCCGTCAACATCATTTCCCCTGGGTTCTGTTGCTGGAGAGTTACAGGGTTCTTTGGCGGGGGGCAGGGGGGGGCGAGTTACCTTGGGTTTCCATATTTCCTGTGCCTCTACATTGAGATGTGTGCATCTGATAGATCCATTGATCTCCACTACTTTTACAGGGCGGCTTCCATGGTAGATGGTTTCCTCCTGGAGATGTGTCTTGGGGTGTTAGTTTGCTACACAGGGTCTTGTTTCCACCTGGGTCGCATCCTGTAGTCTCTTTGGCTGAAACTAATGCTTTGGGCACAATATGTGTCATGATGGGTTCAAGAGCCCCACCACATCCCTGGGGACCATGCAGGGGTGGGGGGATTCTAGTAGCCCAGGAAGCTGTGGGACGTGCCTCAGTGGATGCAGTGTTTACTGTGTGATCTCCCCCAAACAGCAATGGGTGTCTTTCCCCGGGGACTGCTAAGGATCCCTCTGCTGATGGTGAGGACCCCTGGCATCGGTAGCCCCCGCCACAGTGGGGCCTGAAGCACCTTCCCTTAGTCCCGTGCCATTGCCCTGGGGCGGGGGGGAGGTGGCAGCAGGAACAGTGTGGGTGCTGCCTGCTTGTGTCCTCTGTGTTAGCTGAGTCTGTCCTGGCCACATGGCTAGGTCCCCGAGGACTAGTGCCTGACCTCCATTCTTGACCACGGCACCCTCTGTTATTTTCAGCACTGACAATACCCGTGTCCTTGATCGCCGGGCACCAAGTAGGCTTGGGTGCTGAGCACCCCATTGCTCTGCTGGGTTAAGCTGGCTTCCTAAGGTGGCACCCTGCTGTTTGGGTGGGTGGATCTCAACAGGGACGACATGAGATCCTTCTCCAGGGACAAGCTACTGTGCCAACTCCAGGCTTCTTCCCTCACTGGGCTGAAACCGGTGATGCGCGTGGAACTCCCAGTTGTCAGACTCACTGGCGTGTGGTCCATCCTCTCCCTGGAGTGGAGAGGTGTCCCACCCCCAGCTGGGACACCAGAATGGAGGCCATTCTGCCATCCCAGGCCTCCTAGTCTTGCAAGTCTCTGGTGTCTTCCTTGATGAACTCCAGCACCCTTTCATGTCCACTGACCTCCAAATGCAGCTCTCCACCTGTTACCCGCCTTCTTCTTTGTGGAGGAAGAGATGAGTACTGAGTATCTCTGCGTGGCCCTCTTGGAATCCCCTGTTTCCCCTGGCATCTGTCTCCTGATCATGTTCTAGGATATCACATCTCTTTTGACAAATGATTTCCAAAAATAGAAATAGAGCTCTGATTTTTCACCTTCATTTTTGTAGACCCTATGAATTTATTAATGTGACCCCAGATAGCAGTCATTCTTTTGAGCCCATGCTATACAACTGACTTTTCGAAGCTCACTCTTGAAGAGAGGTGGGAGGGAAAAGGAAGGAGAAGGGGAATTGCATGGAAGATGGAAGGAGACCCTCGTCGTTAAACAGAATACAGGTATGATGTTGTGAGGAGAAAAAAAAAAGTGTGTCACGTTAGATTGGGTAGAGAGAAGTGATGGGAGGGGGGGAGGAGCAGGGTGGGTAGGAAGGGCAGCAGAATAAAGTAGACATTATTATGGCTGTATGTGACTGTATGACCAATGTGATTCTGCAACCTGTAGAATCAGAAAAATGAGAAATTATACCCCCTTTGATTCAAATGTATGATTTGTCAAGATCATTGTACTGTCATGTGTATCTAATAAAAAAAAAAACAACTTCCCAAGTCTTGCTTGCTGTTAAACCATGTGTGCCTTATCAAGCTCGCTGCAGTCAGTGTTGAGGGATCGAGCTCAGGACTTAGATTCTTCTGTTCAGTGTCATCTGCTTGGCTACCACTTGTCGCCCCGCCTTGTTGAAAGATTTTTGGATCAGACTTTCCATTCATTTATCTTTTCCTTTCAAATTCATATCTGCCTCAGGTTTGAGAAGCCCGCCCTGCCTGTCCTTACTCAGGTCATTGGTGAAGATGCTCATTGGAGTGCTCCAGGCCTTCCCGGCACGCAGTGTCCCCTTCCTGGAGCCGGACAGAGGGCTTGATGGTGTGCAAAGACACTCACCTCCTGTCCTCTCCTGTGGTCTCCTTAGGAGCTTGTGATCGTCACCTTTTCTGTGAGCCACATCCTACGCACTCAGCTTCATTCCTTTGCTTGGTCCTCCCAACAGCCCTGTGCAGCACCCCAGAGTGGCTGATAACTGACCCCCGGCCACACAGCAAGTAAGGAGCAGACCCTGGACCCACCTCTGGCTTGGTTGACCGCAGAGCAAGCTGATGGACACCTCTTCCAGGAAGTGACTCCTGAGGCTGGCTCCTTCCTGCTGCAGAGTGTCAACAGTGTGCAGAGGGAGGGGCAACCTGGGTCAGGTCGGAAAACAAGGTAGAGAGGTGGGCCCTGGAGAGGCACAGACCTGTGGTACTTCCACTCCTTGGGGAGAAGAAAGGCTCTGGAGAATGAGAGTCAGGGAGGAGTTCAGTGCCTTTGGTGCGTTGTCTTTAGAGAATACAACACTGGGCAAAACCACCGATTTCTCCAAACTCAAATTGTCTCCCCAACAACCCTAAGAATGATCTGTGGCACAGAGAAGTTAGGACACTTGCCCTGAGTCACAAAGCTGGTTGGAGTATAAACCAGTGTCCTCTTGAGAGTGCTTTAGCCTCTTTGCCTGTTTGCTCATGAGCCAATTGAAGTCCAGAAGAGGGACAAAGACACCTGCAAGTCACATGGTAAGCTGGTGGCCAAGTCCTCACAACCATTCAATTGATTCTGCAGATTGTGTTCAACCAACACTTTTAGAAAGTAAGCCCCATGAAGGCAGGAGCAATTGGCCCTTCTGTCTCCTGAGGTAGGTTGTGTCCCCAACTCCTTTGACAATGCCTGGCAGAGAGTGGGTGGGAGCTTGATGTGTTATTTCTTCATCAAAAAATAAGACGGTGATCTCTTAATATTGGCCAGGCACCCAATAGCCATGTGACACGGTGGAACTGGTTGTGCCCACGCGCCCAGGGTGGGCGAGGGCAAGTGCGTGGCCCGGGTCCCCTCAACGGTGAGGGCACTGACTGGGTCCTGGGCAGCCGTCGGCTCTCAGCTGCTCTTTGCTGAAGTGAGGTCTGGGTGAGGCTCAGGGAGGAGCACGGGAGTCCGTGCTGTTCTGGGGCAGGTCTTGCTCACCACCAGCTCCTCCACTCCCACCCGGCCCAGGCCCCAGATGACAGCCCACTGAGGAGGGGCCCTGCAGCCCTGTGCCAGGGACAGCGGGCATTTTTGCTGGGCAGGACGTATTATTACTAAGATTGATTTTTATTTTCTTTTTTTCTCCTCTTTTATTCCCACAGAATAAAAATAGGAAACATGACGCTCCTCACACAGCACCAAGGATCTGTCTTAACAAGTCCTTCTGTGCATTAATAGTAAATATTGCAAGAAACCCAGCGCGGGTTTAATCATGAACGGCTTCAGCCTGCAGGGAGGGACAGGAGGGGGCCGGCTCCCCCAAAACCTCCTCCCTGGGCCACGGAGAGGGAGAGGGTGGTTCGCCTGTGGACTCTCGGGGCTCGCTGTCGGAGCCACCTCTCTGTTGAGGACAGATGCGGAATATACTGAAGACAGCTAAATACTGATTCTGAGTTCTCCCTCCATAACAAAGATGAAGTTGGCCGGAAGATGTTCTGAATCATCCTGTCGCCTCCGTTTGCTTTCCTCTGCCTCCAGGTGCAGAGACGGTGGCCTTGTCTCTCCCTAGGTGGCCCGTGGAGAGGCAGTAGTCACCGGCTCCATGGCACCCACCGTGGTGGTGAGCTCCTCCTGGCTCCTTCCCATCTTACGAAGGGCCCAGGGATCCCAGGGGGTCACCAGCCACAGATCTCCCAGCTCCAGCTGTCACATCCCTTCATTTAGTATGCTCTGCACGGAAGCCCTTTATGTTCCTCGTCGGGTTATGAGGGCCCTAGTACCTTGCAAATGACCCCCTCCTGCTAAATGCTCCAAGTCCTTTTAAAGGAACCTGTGGGCCGAAGGCCACTTAGAGGCAAGTCGTCTTTGCATGGGGAGGAAGCGGAAGTACAGAGATCCCCAAGATCACGCGCATAGGAGGCGGCAGAGGGTTCCCGGGACTGGGTTGTGCTGAATTGCTCTTCTGAGGCTGCCCCAGCAAAGTGCCACAAACCTGTGGCTGTGACATCGGTATTTAGCTCTGGAGGCTACAAGTCCAAATCAAGGTGTTGGCAGGGGTGGTGCCATTCAAGGGTTGTGAAGAAGAATCCATTTCAGGCCTTTCTGCCGGCCCCGATGGCTTGCGGGCCTTTGGGGACATTTCTTGGCTTGTAGTCTGTGCCCTCACCTTCACACGGCGGACACCCTTTCACCTTTCACTTTCATGGTGTCCTCTCTCCGGGGGTCCTCTGTTCCCCACCCCCAAAGCTCCCCCACGTCTCCTTGTGTAGTTAAATGGAAAATGTTCTGCATTCTGTGTCCAAATGTCTCCTTTCAATAAAGACACCAGCCATCCGTTAGACGCCACCCTACTCCAGCAGGCGCTCACTATAACCAGCCACATGCACAATGACCCTTTCTCCAAATTAGGTCACATTTTTAGGGCCAGGAGTTAGAACTTCTGTGTATAAATTTGGGGTGGGGGGTGCACAGTTCAGCCCACCACCAACCTCCGCCTCCGAACTCACACATCATCCTCTTCTTTCCAGAACAACTTTTCACTGGACAAATGAGAATCACGTGGAATAAAAGATGGGGTTCTTAACTGCCCAGAAGGAATTAATAGGGCTTTAAATAAATTGAAGAATGCGACACCGTGACTCTGAGACACCTCCGTGCAGATTGGTGTCACCAGCTGTGCTCAGTGGTGTAGAGGGATGGTGGCAGAAGGGTCCAGAGAGGGCCAGGGAGGGTGGGCACCCAGAGCCCCGTGCTTACTTTATGTAGGAGGGGTTTATTTCCATTGTCCTCCTCCATGGTAGGGTGTCAGTTCCGTGAGGGCAGAATCGGAGGTACTTGATGGACACCAGAGGGGACTGTGAAGCGGGACTCAGAGAGGCCCCTCCTTAGCGGTGGAGATGAGGCTGGAACCCTGGTCAATGCCCAATGTCCACTGCAACCATCCACACTTGTCCCTCACCTTGACTGTTAGCCTGAGGAAGGCAGAGGTCCCCTGTCCCTCTGTCCCCACTTGGAAGCCCCTGGGTGCTGGGTTTGCTCTCATCACACCCATGGATTCAGCCTTGGAGAACAGGCACCTCAGGGACACCCTCCCGCGTCCCCTCTGCTCTGTGCCTTTGCTTTGGGAACTCCAGGCTTCAGTGTGGCCTCTCACCCCTGGTCCCTCTGTTCCCCGCACCCGCAGCTCCCCCACGTCTCCTTGTGTAATTAAAGGGAAAATGTTCTGCATTCATTTACCTTATACTTTATCAAATAACGGAGAGATGAATTAAGAGGTCCATATTTCTATTTCAAGGTTCATGTGCTTTCACAAACTGCGCAACTTGTGCTCTTAAAACCTGCCGCATCAGCAGGAAGTCTCTGCTCCAAACATGGCCACCTCTCCCCCTTCCTCTTTTCATTCCCCAGCGCAATTTCTAAATAGATGCGATGGCTGGGAATTCTGCAGAGATGATGGTGAAATAATGCTCAGAGCCACCGGGGTTCTCTATCTCCCCCCCCCTCCTGTTTTCCTCCTCCTCTTCTTCTCTTCTTCCCTCCCTCCCCACTCCACCCTTTCCTCCCCCTTCTCCCTTCCTCCTCCCCCTCCCCCACTTACTGCTGCCTCAGGATCCTTCTTGCTGGAGGGATGCCAGGCTCTGGGCTTCACCGGCTTGGTGGTCACAGACATTTATTCAGTACCTACCAGGTACGGAGCAGTCTGGTGAGGGCCACTGGGCACAGAAAGTGTTAATACTTTCCATCTCTGTAGTTGTGTCTAGTTAACAAAACACCTCCACGTTCACGACTCCTTTGAATTCTGGCAAGAGCCCTCTGACATGAATGACTGTGTTGTTAGCTATTGTTTTCTTCTGAAGCGAGGAAAGTGACGCTCAGGTAGATGTGATCACCAGGGCTACTCTGCCTTGGGTGGGTCAAGGACTCCCATGGTAGACCAGTGAAACCCACGGCCACCATCTAAGAAAACAGTGGCTTTAAATGCACAGAATGAAATACACAGGGTCACAGAGGCAACTAATATATGGAAATGCAAAAAAAAAAAAAAGCCTGACATAGTAATATATGTGCTTCTGTATTAAGGCATTAAATAACATTCTAAAAACCACTAGAATACTGAAGTAATGACTGACTCTGTCAAGAATCAGCAAACTAGGATCTGGATTGCTGCCTGTTCTTGTAAATAAAGTTCTATTGGGTCACGTGAACATAGACCTAGATTTGGTGGTAGAGCCGAGAAGTTCCAGAGACCCGGTGCCTCAAATCCAGACTATCTGGACCTTTGTAGAAAAAGTATGCTGACCTCTGTTGTAGCCAATATTTTGAGATATCTGCAAAAATGTTGATGGGATAGGAAAATGACTGTGATTCTATGGGTATCATAAATCTTGAGTATTGCCAATCTGCTGTGGTTTGTTGATTGAAGAATGAAGTTCCATCCAAGTGCGTGAACACCTCGAGTTCCATCCATGGCATTGGTGGACGTGGAATTTGAACCCAGGTGGGTCTGGTGGGTCCTCAGTGTTTGTTCTGACCCCTTGGTCTCCGCTGTTTAGAGTCTCACAGTTCAGCGCACCACACAGGGACATGCACACCTGTGCACACACATAGCAGTCCCTGCCTCGTTCCACCACAAGGAGAAAGAGTGACCCAGAGGAGGGGGTGGTGCCCAGTCGCTTGACTTTCTGGACTCTGAAAAGCCCGGGGTCACCAGGAGCAGTTGTACAGGGCACTGAGCCTGCTTATGTTGAGAGGATTCAGTAGCTTTCTCCAGTTGTCACAAAGATGCTACGTGGGCTGGAGACCGCTGGGAACACCCTCCCCCGAGTCGCCCAGATGGCCGTGTGTCTGGGCTTAGATTCAGTGGGTTCTCCTCCCTGTGTGGTCAGCTCTATCAGAAGTCAACAATTCCAGGACCACTGAAGAAGGGGCCCTTGGCTGGATGGTCACGAAGAAGCAATGTCTTCATCCTATGGAGGGTTTTTGAAGGCCTCATTCTGCAAATTTGTCACTCACTCCTCCACATGTTCCCTTCTTCTTGTCTTTGTCTTTAACACATGTTCAGGAATTACCTGTTATAAGCCAACCCTTTGGCCGGGTACTCCGCTGATGCCCCCAAGACCAGAGCACTTTAGAGCCGGCCCTGTGATCTTCTAGCTCTGTGACTTTGGAGAGCTTCGACTCTCTGATCTCCATTAACCCACCCATAAAGTGGGAGCCATAAATACACCTGTCACCCACCTTACTGATTGGAGGCCAGTCCGAGGAGATAATAGATGGAAAAGAGTGATGGGGAAGAGTCATTTCAGAAACGGGAAGAAGAGATCTCTGTAGTGCAGGTCGTTCCGACAGATTTATAGCAGAAATGGCCTTGAGGGAGGCCGGGAAAGATGAGCAGGATTTGAGGAGGCCATCAGTTAGCGGGACCCACTAGAGACATCAGCGCGGCAGCCGGGGTGAGGGCTGGCCGGGCGAGGAGGGCCTGGGCGGCTGTGCTGTTTCCCAGAGGATCCGAGACACTCAGTGCACTCCCCGCTGAGATTTCAGAGCCGGCCGGGAGCCATTGTTATGAGAATATGTTTATTATTATCATCCTCATCAACATTATTATCATTATTAATAACACGATATTTGGAGCATTTATGCACATTAATTTTAAACAAGCATGGTGCTGTGGCAAGATTTGATGCTGCTACCAATAAACAGCCATCGTGTGGATCTTTAATTTACATGAAATCATTTATGCTAATTTAATTAGCCCTTTGTTTACAACTGAGGCTCGCTCACCACTGGATTGGGAGATGTGCTCCACGGCAGGCAGCGCACTGCAGAGCCGGAAGCCAGGGGCTCAGTGCTGCCAGCTCCGCCTCCCACCCAAAGGGATGCTCCTCCCACCGAGAGGGGAGCCTCACCTGTTCTTTTGTAGGAGGACACATACGGACTCAGGAAGTTCTGATGTACAACTTGCTCCCTTTAAGGGACCGTGCCAGGGGCTGGCCTGTCACTAACTCAGAGAAGCTTCACACCTGACCCAATGTCAGAGAGCCATCAAGCAGCAAGGCTGGAGATGTTTCCAGTTCTCGGCCTTTCTGTACCTTTCAGCAACCCTTAAATAGGAAGACCTAACTTGTCTCGGCCCATAGCGTGCCCTCAACAACCACAGAACGAATGAACGGCACCCTTCAGTTAAAGGCACTTCCTGGTGGGCTGTCTCCCTGTTCCCTGACAGTAGCCCTGAGAGACGGATCTGCAGAGAAAGCTGAACAGGTGGGATAATGGGAGAGCCTTGTACTGTGAGCCTGGAGTTTGTCCTGTGACTGTGTCACTGATTTGCAGCATGACCTTGGCCCAACCTTGACCTTGGTCTGAGTGCTTCTCCCACGCCTGTTTCTCCATTTCCACATTGGTGAGACAGAAAGAAGAATCCCTTGTCCTTCTAATCTGATGGGCAGAAATAAAAAAAAAAAATGAGATTGTGGAGGGAACGTGCAGGGTGCCGGGGAATTATAAGGTGGTATTTGTCAGACTTGCCTTGGGAAACCTTGAAAAATTGAATGGAAACCACTGGGCTCATTCATCTCCTTTTAACAGCCCCATGTCATCCAGCCTGGTCTTTTCCATTCCTGCTCTGTCCAATCCTGACAACATAATTTAGTTCCAGGGAACTTGAATAGAACACAGTGGACTGATATTTCCACATGCTCGGGTCTTGATTAATGCCGTCAGGGCAGCCGCTGCGAGGACAGGGAGCCAGGAGCACTCCACCTCCTGAGCTCAGGTCTCTCTCCCTACTTGGGGGTGCTTTGCTCCCTGGGCCCTGTAGGGCCCTGTGCACCCCTTCTTTGCTTTTCCCTGGAGTGTGTATTCTTCCCGCTGTCCAGCCATCCATTGAACAAATAGAGTGAGTGTTGGCCAGGCAATGGGGCCACAGGGCTAAGTAAGGCCAGCTCCTGCCCTTGACAAACTCAGTCCCAGGAAAATGAAAGCCAGGGGCCATGCCAGCAGAAACTGTCCAAGGAATGAAGCTGCAGGACGGAGGCTGAGTGGAGTGGAAGGAGGGTGGAGAGGGCTTTACAAAGGAGACACGTTGACTGGGTGTCTCAGGAGGTGCACTGGAGACTGAAGGGAGGCCAGGGATGTGGGCAGGGTGCAGCGTGAACAGGCAGAAGAGCCCTGGGCTTCCGCTGTGCACGGGGATGGCAAGGGCTCGGGGCGGCTGGGCATGTGGGGGTGATGAGGTGGGATTGCAAAGGCAGAAGAACCAAACAGCCTCTCTCCAAGGCAGGTAACTGCGAGTTTGCCTCAGCTCTGGTTTCAGTGTCAGGCGTCTCCAGGAGAGAGAGAGAATA